TAATTTTTAATTTTAATTGTATATGGTGGTGCTCTTTCATGACATCGACTCCACTATAAATATATATAATAGTTTATTTACTTCTGAACTCCACTATAAATATATATAATAGTTTATTTACTTCTGGACTCTGTCAAATCAACGACGGCTGTATCAAGGTTATGTGGTTTCATGTCTTTCTGTGAACATTCGATCTTCTTCTTACGACGATATGAAGGATTCTCTCTTTACCCTCATTGTCCGAGCGCTATCAGGTTGTTATGTGTGTGTGTGTGTATGTATGTGTGTCTCCAATTCAAAGATACCTTCTCGGTCGACCTTTGAGACACCTAGGTCTTTTAACGTTCTGAGGTGACATTGAGTACAAAGCTTATTTTGGCATCTCTAAAGTATATATTGGGGTCACTACAAATCAGCTCTTCTTAGGATCAAGAGTTCATAATGGACTCGATTCAGACGTCTGGTATTTCCTGGCGTGGATCACATACTACGGTGACAAGAATGCATTTTGTCCTATTGCTAATAGTTCTATAAGTAGGAAATAAAATAATGACTATCAGTGAAACTCGAACTCTCAACCCATTTCCTTGTCAAGTCTTAACCGCAACAGCTGCTTCACCAGTTAGATCATGGACACTTTTCATCTGCAGTCATTCAATTGTAGGCATATAATTATTCTTTATGTTATTTCGACTGTCTGATTGTGTTTTTTAATTTAATTTAGTTATTTTACATTAGTCTACATCAAGAGCTAGCTCCATATTTACGGAAATATGGAAGCCTATAAGCGAAAGAAAAAAGAAAAAGAAAATGTATTACAAATTGTGCTGAATGATTATTGGTTTAACTAAGAAGCCCCTACTCCCAAAAGGTGAACGTATACTCCTCAGAGAGTCGACAGGACTTGAGAACGGTGAACTTATATTACACAGGGATTCTACGCGACTTGAAAACTGCTGATCCATACTCTTCAGGGAGTAGTGGGAACTTGAGAGCAGCGGACCTAAAAAACGCAAGGAGTCTACGGGACCTGAGAATTGTTACAGTTTTTTGTGTATATGTTATAACTAGTGAGCCAGTCAAAATGACTTAACTCCCTTTATAGTCCACCAATAGAAGGTTAACCAATCAGAAGTCGCAGAACATTGTATCCGTCGTGTACAAAGGCGGCAATTTTTGTTTACCCTACCCGAATGACCAGTGCCAACTTGTCAGGCGAAGATGACAGAAGGAAGTACTACGCTCTGCTACTTTGCTGCGATATTCACTGCTAACCTGAACTACGCTTTCCTACTGTCTCTGAAATATTCACTGCTAACCTCTGGATTCTATACTCGAAGACGACCGTCAAAATGTCTAACAAGAATTATGAATCCATACTCTCCAGGGAGTTGACGGGACTTGAGAGCAGTAGACCTATGCAACACAGGGAGTCTACGTGACTTGAGAACTATGGACCCATACTCTTCAGGGAGTCGACGGGACTTGAGAGCAGTGGACCTATACAACACAGGGAGTCTACGGGACGAGGGAACTATGGACCCATACTCTTCAGAAAGTCTACTGTACTTAAGAGATGTAGACCCATACACCTCAGGGAATGGACGGGACATAAATGTGTGTGAGTGTGTTACTTTAGAATAATTAATAGTATTTACTACTCGAGGAACTTTAATTCTCACTGCGGATTCAAACTTAGGCTTTTTTGACAAACTAATTCCATCTAAATGAATGTATTGCTATGGTGACACGCCATAGTTCAATCTCACTGTCTGTTACCTCTGGAATGAGTACGATTATCCCTGGGGACACTAAATCTTGTGTCCGGCTAGACTAAGTTTGGTAAATATGTAAAGAACGCCACACTGTAGATTAATGTTCAGCAAACTATTCTCTAAATGAATTTGATTCTCACTGGGTAGCCAATAATCGTGCCTTTGTATCTGACCAAGCTTAATTTACTACTACTGAGTCGTATCGAGAAAATTGTTTGAAAATGATTATTTGAAAAACATTTATTCGAATTGTAAATTGTTTGAATGAAAATTAATGGAAAGGGCAATTATACTCGATGATAATTATTCGAAATACCTATGTTTGAAATACGTATGTGGCCTTGCTTTGAGAGAGTCAAGGCTGATTTACCTTGAACTAATAACGCCATTGGAGTATAGTGTAGGGTTTTTTTTTTGCAGCAAGTGTCATCCCATCATCCCACAATATGGAAATTCTTAGACGTCCTTAAAAGAGAACAGGACTTGCAAGAAATTCATATTGCAAAAGAAAGAGCAGGTTACCAAAATATCAATAGCGTCAAGAAATACCACGACGTCAATGGAAAACTTAAAAAGATTAGTGGCATTTTTTAACCAGTACCCTTCAGTAGGTGACTATTTGCATGCAGTATCCTATAATTTAAGGCTATAAAAAATTTTCTGCCCAAATTGTTTTATTAACGACTATCAGCATGGGCCGGCGTTGCCCGTGCTTGATTCAAAAATCGTACGACTCATACAGCAATCGCTATCACTTGATTTAAAATATTTTTGCCCTTCCTTGCCTTTAAAGGAGTGCCCTTTGCCGTGCTGATGTTGCTACATGCCTTACTTCTTGCATATCTCACACTGCGATTTTTGTCTAAGCTTTACACTAAACATTAAATCTGTTACGAAAAAAGAACTAAACAAAATGAACACAAAACGATCAGCTTTAAAAAAGGACTCGTAACTGGAAAACCGAATGAAAAAGAATGTTAACAACAAATACTTTTTCACACCCAACCCAGTTCTGCGGAATCAGAATCAATGTTGAGTTTAAGCAAGCGAATGAGCCAATTGGAGTAAAGTGCCATGCAGATTTAAATTTTTCCCACTTGTGACGATTTTTTTGCATGCTAGTTAACATTCGTGTCAGTCAGCTGTTGGCTCTCACGCTGGCCAATAGAATCTGCCTGCCTATTTGTGGCAGCCAGCTATAGGCTCTTACTCTGGCCAGTAGAAAATGGCCGCAAACTACATGAAAATTACCGTAGAAGCATGAAAAAAATCGATTATTTCCACTATCGATGGGAAATGCAAAGTCGGTGTTGGCCTTCCCGCTAACTTGGAGCATGTGCATGTAAATTTTGGTGCAAATCCGTCGAAAATTGCGGCCGTGCATTCGTTACACACACACATCCTGCCTTTTGTAGATAGAGATATTTGTATTTCGAATACTCATCATTTGTGCTTTTCGTCTTTTAATTTTTACATTTTTTCTGCAATAAAACATTTTGCATGTCGAATAATTATCATCTATATAATAAATGAGAATGTTAGTGTGTCACTGTGTCACACTTTTTCAACTTTACACCTAGAGGCCATAGCCCAACATATCATACCATTTTGGAATCAGGCTGACCCCGTGAGCAAGTTAAAAACATTCCGGGGCGGATTCGAACCCGCAATCCTGATATTTTGGATTATCAAGTTTTCATTACTGCGATTGTTTTTTCGACGATTGTTTTACGTGATTTTTGCGATTAATTTTTTACACGATAAAAATTTTTATAACTTGGAAATTAATTCAGGAATAATCGAAATTAATTGCAAAATCCATCGAAAGTCGTCTACGAAATAAAAATAATTGTTTGTGCGGGAAGTAAGTACATTGTCTTTAAATTAAGTGGCGACAGAAAAATTATCGTTGAACTTTAAAAAAAAAAGGTAAGCTTAAATAATGCAATAAAAATGGAGCGATCAATTTTGAGTTCTTCTGTAGTTTATTGTTGCCTATCGCATCCCCTCCTTCGTACGTATTGTGATGAAAGCCCAATCAACAACCCTCTGCCGGAGATAGCTTAAATGCCGCTCGATATAATTGTCCTTTCAATTAATTTTCATTCAGACAATTTACAATTCGATTAAATGTTTATCGAATAATTGTTTTCGAACCATTATTCTCGAGCAATGTTTACATAATCTACTGAATAGTGAGTTCGATCCTTACTGGATACTCTATATAAAAATTCGACATTACAGGTTCGATCACAGCCGATGTCTTCCGATTTGAAGGCTCGACTTGGCCACGAAGAGATTTTCGTAGTTTCTATCTGGATTGGGCGAGGAAACCTCCTCCCAGGCCGTTGACTTCAACCAACAACGAAGCTAAATTTAATACGGATTTAAATCAAAGCAGTGACTTATAAGCATATCTCGCTGGCCGTTATTATTAACAGCATCACTACATGCCCGACGATTTTGCTCTTGTTTTAGGCTGTGCTACGCTTGGTAAATAAAAGAAACCTTACCATGGTACGATGGTTAGCCAGCAAATCTTGCAGACAATAGATTTTGTTTTTTAATCGTTTCACCCCAAGCAAGGCAATAAAGACGCTAAGACGCAATAGGTTTACTGAGTTAGAAAATATGAAAAAACATCGAAACGCGGTTACTGAGAGAGAATAATAAAAAAAACAATAATTAAGAAGACAAAATATAACGATTGACATTACATTTAAATATTTGAAGATCAAAATTGACTGGGAAGCAAGAAGCGGGAAGAGATTCACATCATCGAGAAGTACGATGGAAGAAATTATTAGCATAGAACTTACGGTTACATCTGGTTATTTCAAATGTAAAATGATGAGACCTAGCTTCCAATCTAGCACTGCGTTTAAATTCATAAAGTCTAGATACCTAAAGGAAAGTTCAACGGAAAAATTACCATGAAAGTATTTATAGAAAAGACACAGGGAAGCTACATTACGGCGATAGGAAAGTGACTGAAGCCGAGATGCCAGGTCAAGACCAATAATATGGCGGATTCTTTTTTTTTTATTACTGAAATGGATTCTTTCTTCACTGGGTGCCCTAGAGTTTTAACCTTGTGCCAGATTAGTATATCCTTCGTAAATAAAAACATGTTTTGAACAAGAAGAAGACTATAATTTGCACTTTGCCAGTTGAGCTGTAACACCCGCTTCCAGGTGGAGGTAAATAAAATGCCGCAAAATAAAA